GCTGCACAGCTCAAGCCTCAGCGTCCAACATTCAGGATGTAGATATGGTGTGTCCTGGCTGAGTGTGTCTGTGTGTGTGTTCTGTGTGGGTGAGACTGAGTTTGTGTGAGTGTTGTTATCTTCGCTATACAGAACTCACAAAATGACTCAGCCAGACTGTTTCGTTGGACTTCCACCAACTCATCAGGAGGTTGAACCCTGACAGTCCGCCCAAGATGAACTGTACTGATGGCCAAGGACTCACCACGTTTGCGTGTCTCTGTGTGTGTGTGTGTGTGTTTGTGTGTGTGTGCTTGCGTGAGTGCGTGCGTGAGTGCGTGTGTGCGTGCGTCCGTGCGTGTGTGTGTGTGTGTGTGTGCGTGTGTGTGTGCGCATGCGGGTGCTTGTGTGCGTGTGCGAGTGCCAGTGTGTCCAACATAGAGTGAAGTTGTAGTCATGCATAGCAACGTAGAAGTCAGTTGAAGTCGAGCGTTGTAGCCTACGGTATGAAAACTCGAAGTCAATTGGAGGGCAGGCGCGGTGTGGGGGCGGGTTTTCCCGCATCGCCTCCAATATCCGAAAAAGTTTGTTACGTGCAGGCGCTTGGCGCTGGCCCGGCAACGTCCCGACAGTACCAGTGCTAGCGCGGGGGCCCAGTACCTTCTGTGGTACTGGCTCCGGTGCGCGGGCCCGGTACCAAGCGTAGTGCCGGCACTGGCGTTCCGGACCTGTACTGGCCCTGACGACACTTCAACTTCTAAGAAAAAACGATCAGCAGATGATCCGGACCTTCGCGCAGCAAAAAATCGGAGGGCCCCGATCGTCCACTTGTCACAGGCAGGATCTTAGCGATAGTTATATATGTAGTGATAAGACCGTTTTGAAACAAATAACCAACTTTCAGCTATTCGGTTCTTTGGTTCCTCCCCTCCCCTCTCCATCCCACTCGTCACTGTCTATACCTCTCTCTCTCTCTCTCTCTCTCTCTCTCTCTCTCTCTCTCTCTCTCTCTCTCTCTCTCTC